TGATCAGACTTCACAACTATCAAACTAAACCCAATTACTTTCTATTTTACATATGACTGGGAACATGGAATATTCCCAATATGTATGGGTTCTGCATACCCATGGCAAGGGGTTGGAACTAGACGATCTTTAAGGTCCCTTCCAACCCAAACCATTCTGTGATTTGAAATATTTTCTGTATTTTTAATGGAGTTTTAAAAAAATATTCCTTCTATTTAGTCCATTTTTTCTGTGCTTGTCTTCCTGTTAATATCTATGCCAAGAACCATTGTGAAACCCCCCCGCTATCATCAAACCATAAATATAATTCCTAGATAACATACCTGCATGCACACTTGAGGGTCAGAATTAGGCAGGAAAAATGTCAGACCCATAAAAAGCAAAACACAGCCCAGTATGTGCTGGGTGGCAGATTCAAACGGAGGCGGTGGGAGGCTGTGAGCTGCCTGAAGATCCGAGTCCTGGCTGTAGTCAGGAACGACAGATGGTGTTTGTCAAGAGGATAGAGCCTTACCTTCTTATTTTATCATGGAAATACCACGTTAAGAAAACTATCAACATTCACTATTTTATCTAACAGATTTAAGAAATACATCCTACAGAAAAACCCAAACAGATGTCCTGCTGGAACCCAGCCCGCCAAATGCAACTGGAAATCCCACTGAAAAGATGCCGTTTTGTTTACCGAGAGACACTGTCAGCCGCTGCACGTATTTTATTTTCTCGTTAAGGAAACGCACTGAGCACATACCGAGATTACATTCGATACAGAACGATCAGAACACGTACAATCAATGCGTATTTCCTGTGGCAGAACAGACTGAAGGAAGGGATTCAAGCTCAGACTGAAATGAAAAATACTTCAGCCAACTTAAGTGATTTTCACGTAGATGAGTTAAGTCTAAATTAACATTCTCACCCAAGATCTGTTACCTTTATATTCAATGGCTTTATCAGGCCTGTGCCTAGCAACTAAGCATAGAGCAGAACCACCGCCCCGAGAGACCATCCGAACAAAACCCCGGTAGAACAGTCCCAGTCTGAAGCCACAATCTACATGAGACGAGGAAAGGATGCGTAGAGAGGAAAAAGTACAAAAAACAAGCAGGCAGTTTGGTCCATGCGACAGGCAACAGCTACAAGGCAGGCAGGGGTTATGCTCTACGGGGAGGTTTCACGGATTCTCTAGAGTTTGCAACCTGAACACTGTTTTTGTGAACGTGCAGAATTCTGTGACACACTGCCTGGATTATCCAACAGAAACCTAGTGGAAAAACTACTTTGCCGTGTATTTTGTGAGTTCCATAAACCTGACGACCAAATCTTTTTGCAAATGAGCAACTAAAACCAGAACTCGAAAGACGGCCTCTACTTCAGTTACAGCAGCTGCACTGTAAGCCAGTCCTAGGCATGTTGTGTGCCAGAGATCAGACCAGAGCATTAAAATCTACAAATATCACTCATCTCCTTGTCTCTCCCTCTGAGTGTTGAATCAAAGGAGGTGCCACCCTACTCTCTGGTACTGTAGGCACAAGACCCTGCTCAGTGCCATCACGTCGCGCGCTGTGTCGCTTCTGGTCTTGCCTAGCTTCAACATCACGGCGTCAGAGGAACGCCTGCCTACCAGCTAGTGATTCACAGTGCCTCATGATGTGGCCCATTCTGGGTCATTTACTTGGTAAGAAAACTGCAATGAATGGGATTATTAAAAAATGTTCATTTAGTTCCTTACATCTCTAAAGATCTCCAGGTAATTTCATTCTCTTCAAAATGCAAAGGATGCATGAACCACCACGTCATTGAATGGGGAGACACGTACTTACTCTCAAAGACTGAAGTTTAGGACAGTGAAGAATTAACTACACAGTTGAAACCGCAAGAAGGATTTGGATAAACAAAAAACGTTATTACTCAAGATATGATTTGCCTACAAGACCGCTTATCCTTGAAACCAGCAGTAGAGACAGAATGAGCTGATCCTTGGAGGGAGCTTTACCAGTTCAAAACAACTTCCAAGCTCTGTTTTTTGTTGCTTCTTCCACTGTTGCGGCAAGATTCTCAAGGGATCAGAAAAGACGGGTTTCCAGCCCCCCTGCCCCCGGAAATATGCCTAACAACACACCTCCATGCACTGTTCTCTCAATGACCCCCTCACCAGTTTCTATTTATACTAAATAAGCTTTATGTCAAGCTTTCTGGCTTCGTCCTGTTTGCAAATGTTCTCTGAAAGACCAATTTGCTCGCTACGATTTTCAGTCACTTTGTGCTGGAAAATTTTAGCTTGCTTTTGAATGGCTGCCAACAGTAAACAGCATTTAGAGGATATTGGTCCTTTACCCTACCACAAGGCTACCTGCAGCTAAGATTTCTCCTTCTCTTTACACATACTACCTAAACCGTAGGAAAACACTACGTATGTGCACAATCCCTCCCTTATGACAATCAAGAAGAGAGCAGCGTTTCTTACATACGGGTCGAGACATATTTAGCAGCTGGAATAATTTTTACCTGGACATCTGTCAGGTCTGCCTACTGCATTTTGTGTACCCAGCAATATGGTATGTACATGGAGTAACGTGACTAGGAAACAGAATCATCCCTTTCTATAAAGGCAGGCTTGTTGCTTCGGGATGCTCTTTCCCCCCCACACCTCATGTCAGCTTCAACAGCGTGTGCCACAGCAACGTCAAGACGAGGAGAGAGACGAAGCTGGCGGGGGTGGTGACTCTTGAAGCCAGGCTCTTTGCATTGCAGTTGTTGGAGTAGCAGCAGTGAACGCTCACGCCAGGTGCCCTGGAGCCGTCCCTCCTGGCCCGCTCGCAGAAGGACCGGAACGAACAGGACTTCATAACGCCACCTGGAACACAGCCACACTGAGCCCAAACGGACCTGCACGGTCAGTCGCCCGCTCCCGTCTGCATCCCCTCACCTGAGCATCCAACACTGAGCAGCAGCAGTAGGTCTGGCTGCTCCTTACAAGTAAATCCTACAACCGCAGCAGATCACAGCACGCTGACAGGCTCCCGCTTACGGAACTGGAATTTATCTCAGATACAACTGACATACCCTAAATATCTCTGAACGTGCCAAAGTGCAGTTCCTCACTGGCTTCTTTTCCTTCCTAATTTCCACGTGAGTCATTTACCTTAGAAATGACAGATTTAAGTAAGATGTGGGTAATACCTGACATGTGTTTTCCTAGCTTTCGCACAGCGTGGATACAGCTCATCATCACGGCCCACTGACAAAGCATACTCGGGCATTTTGCATCAGATCGCTGCTAAACCAGTAAAATTAGGGATTGAGATTTGTTACTAGGGTTTATTTTGAGAAGAAACATTCACCTTTCTTCTCCTTAACTTACGACATACTCTTCTCTTTCCAACACTGGTTATTTATTTCTCTAACTAACAGTGAGTCTGAACCGTGTGCGAGTACTTACTTGCTTGTCCTCTAATGACGGCACACGCATCCGAATGCCCTGGACACTGCTGACTTCCTTGTCTGTTACAGTCCTCATCGCTAGAACCTACACAGGTGTAACACTGCAGCGCTTCGCCTGCCAGGAAGGAAAAACAGACCGCTTATAACGGGAGTGTGTTTAAAAATATGTGAAACTCGCCCGCTACGCATGCTCTTTCTCATTGTTTGAATCACATGCAAAAATAGCAAGAGAGCTTAAAAATTATCTAGACATCCTGCAAATCCTATCAGGTTTTTAGAAGCAGTTCAGATAAGGCAAGGTAAAAACACCCCATCAGCAACTGTTACAATTTGCCCCTAAAATAACCCAAGAACATCCGATGCTCTGTGACTGCACCTACACCTTCCTTCGAACATTTTCAGAGTAGGGTCTGTGGTAACAAATTGGAGTATCATTTTTTTCACCTCTCCACTATGGTCCATAGTCCCATGAAAACACATTGCATTGCACACCGTACCTTATAAACACATAAAATCTGCTATGATCCACATTTCATTTTGTCCTAAACTATCAATTCAGCTGGAAGACACAACAGCGTATCTTCAGAATTTTCTTTTGTTGAAACATTACACCCCTCACTCCATCCTCCTCCTCCCCAGAGTGTTTCCCTGGTTCAAACCACAAAGGCACGTATACGTCTGAGACACATTTACCGTAGCATCCGTCAGACCTGCAGAAGGCACACTCTGTCCACAGGCACACGCACATCTCAGTGTGGGAGCGCAGGCATTTACGTTTACATTACAAGGCAGAGGTGAAATCCTGTGCTGCTAACCACGGACACGAAACAACCGGAAGGCAAACCAAGCCAGGAGAGAAGCCCAGAAGAGCAAAGCGGCTCAGCCACACCTCAGGTAGGAAATGAAAAAGAGGGAAGAAAAGGGAGTTGACTTACTTTTGATTACAAAAAGGGAGCTGACGAGAACCAGGCTGAAGACTGTCCACATCATGGAGACACAAGAGATGCACCATTAGGCAAAGAAAGCAGTTTGTTTGCTATTAGAGCCTTAATGCTTATCTTACATACCTAATCCTCCGCAGAGGATAACTGAGAGGATAAAGAGGTGTGCGAGAATGCTACTTACCGAGCTTATTCTGGCTGTACTTCTAATCGCACGTACTTCATCTCCGCAGACTCTGCTGGGGAATTCTCCCAGCAGCAGGAAGGAGAAAACAGATTCCCCTTTCGGTGACAGATACACTTACAACCCCCCCAGCCCATCGCCGCGTGTCACAGCCCCCACCTCAGGCAGACAGTCTCATTGTGCTGCAGCAGGGGCAGCGTTAAACGCTTTGCAGGATTAAGCCCGGGTGGTCCAAACCTAACAAATATATATGTATACATAAATGTACAGAGAGAGCAAGTCACGTAGGTACATGCCCGGAAGTAGGACATTCTTGTGACCCACGGAGTGGTCCAAGCAGTGGCCCACGAGGCGCTTTCTGCGAAGGAACTCAAAGAGCTGCCGTATCTGGCCCTGCACGTGAAGTACATAAAACAGAGCCATACTTATCTTCAACTTTCAACGAAAAAATTTATTTACAATAGAGAATTTCATTTAAGTGACATGCATTTTCCTTTTTTTTTTTCCATTTTTAATTTTATTTTACAAATCAGCAAATGCAGATAAAGTTTACACTCCTTAAGGCAAGAGTCCCCATGCAAGTAATACATGTTTATATTAAATCCAAAAGACATCCAACATGGGAACTCATGTACAAAGGGAAGGCTAGGATCAGCAATTCGTTATTTCTTAGAGAACTTGACAATCTCCCTGATACAGGAACTTTTGAGATCAACTTGCTATGAATTATACTATGAAAATGCAAACAATAGCAAGAAATTCTGATAGTCATCTTAGTACTGCATACAATTAAATCAACTTTATTTAGAAAGAAAATACAGTAGTGCATACGAAAAAAGTGAAAATATAACCTGTCCACATAAATGTATGGACATCAGTGTGCCAATGGTCATATTGCACTCAGTATCGAAGTCCAGAAATTTGGTTAAAAGTTAGCTTTTCCCCATTTTGGCAATCAGTTCATCACAAATCTTTGTTAATTCTTCTATCTCTTTGTTCTGGAAAAGAAAGGGCAGTAATAAGTATTACGAAGAATACTGTTGCATTAAGATGAGGATTTTGTTTAGTCATCCAACCTTGGGGAGAAGGGTAGGGGAATTATGGTTTTGCCAATACTGAGGACAGAATCGACCTATGCATACACAGCAGCTGTATATGACACACTCCAACAACGTGCTTACTTATTTCCACATACAGCTCCTCTGACCTCAATAAACAGATCTAGCTCTAAAGCAGACAGCTTTATGGCAGCCACTCCTGGCACACAGTAATAATACATAGTCTAAAGTTGCTTCTAGGCTGCACTTTGTAGCCTTATTTTCACTGTTTCCCAGGGGCTCCAAGCAAGGATGGGCTGTATTACGCTGGCAGCAAGCTCCTTTGCTGAGCTCGAGTGCACGAGACACAAACAGGGGTCTCCTACCCCCACTGCTGCCCTGAGCCTCACAGATCCGCATCTGATCATTCCATGTTAACAGGGAGCCACGTAAGCCAGCACTGGAATTACAGCTAAAACTAAAACCGGGAACAAAACCCAAAAGACCTAGCCCAGAAAGATCTTAAACCTGAGAAGCAAAGCAGGCAGAGGGTGGCTGCCGTCTCAGCTCCAGAGAAAAGCTGGATGCAGCCCCTCCAGGGAGGTGGTTTCAATTAACTTTGGCCATCCTGTTGCCTTCTGCGTGAAAGGAGCTGAACTGGCTGTTTACCTTTTGTTCCAGTGTTCTCTCCAGTGCGTCCACTTTCAGCTGCTCTTTACGGAGGCTGGCCTGATACGCTGCTTGCTCCTGCTGAGCCTTGCCTCTCACCTGTGCAATTTCAGCATTGGCTCTAGAAAAGCAGAGATGTTTGTCACGTCAGGTTCTCTATGGATAAGGACAGCGGGTACCGAAGGATGGACCGTGTGTTAGCACACGGCTGGGGAGGGCAGGGCTACTTTCTGCATGGTTTTGAGATTTGTTCCTGCAGGCTCTTCATGACTCCCTCTCTTGCTCAGCAGAGGCTGCAAAAGCTTTTCTTAACGTCTGTCTTGTTCCCTCCCTGCTTCTCTCAGGTGTCTGTGCTGGGCTATCACTTAGGTAGAGGTATTTTATGGAAGTTTTCCAATCTGATCTCCAGTTCTTACAGACTAGTCTCACAGCTGGGACAACAGCTGGAAAGCAAATCCAAGGGTTTAGGTACTGATCAATCCTAGTGACATTTTGAAGACATCACGTGGGTCCAGGGGACTGCAATACGAGTCCTGAGAGTAATCCCTAGGAATGCCTTCTTAGCTGTTACATGGAAGCGTAGCAAGAAAAATTGAAAAAATCAACTGGAGCTGCCCGACTGTCGGAGGGGCAATGATACAGCACAGGGGCAACAGCAAACCTCGGGGGACAGGAATGCAGGCTGCGGGTGCAAACACCCGAGCACAGCCCTCCATAGCTGCATGAACCTAGCTAACACCATCTTTCTTGACCTCGCCTGGAAAATACGTTGAAGAAACACGAAGACATTTGATAAGGATAGAAATTTAAGGCATTCTACATGGTCAGGAGCTGGAAGAAACCCCAGCATGTTACAGAAATTCTCATAAGGGCATTACAGTCCTCCCTCCATCACAGAGCATCCTGTGCTCTGCATACTGAAAGAGCAGGTTTGGGATGCAAGGTCCAGCCACAGGAATGCTGCAGCAAAAACACCTGGAAAGAGATGTGTGCTGTCAATTACCTGTCCAGTTTTTCCTCAGCGTGAATTTTGAGTGCTTGATACCTCTGCTCTTCCTTCTTTACTCGTGACAAATATTCCTGCGCACATTTCTTTAACACTTCTTCATTCTTAAATGAGAAGATGACATTAAATTTAATCCAAGACATTCAATAGGACAGGGGTCTATTTGTGGGTGTCACACTCAGGTGTTTCAAGGGCTGCAGGCTAACGCTGACACCCTCACACAGGGGCCATCTGAAGCAATATTACAAAATGCCAAAAGCTTTACGATTCTCATTGCATTCAATACATGGCTGCAAGCCTTCACCTAAGGATTACGTTACGTCACACCCTTCAGACATACCCTCTGGCCTGAGGAATTCACATCCTAGGTTTTAATAGAACCCTCAGTCCAGAAGCCAGCCCTGACAGTGCTCAAGTCCCCCAGTTACGTGACATCTACTGAAATCACAGTGTCACTGGTGGCAGCAAGTTACTCTCGAGCAAAATCACCTTGTGCAAAAGCATCTGTTTAAAGCTACTGCAAAACAAGATGCACAAGTCCATGGGACCTGATGGGATACATCCGCAGCTCCTGAAAGAACTGGCGGGTGGGGTTGCGAAACCTCTGTCCGTCATATCTGAAAAGCCATGGTGGTCTGGTGAAGTTCCCACTGACTGGAAAAGGGGAAACATAACCCCCATCTTTAAAAAGGGAAAAAGGAGGACCCGGGAAACTACAGGCCAGTCAGTCTCACCTCTGTGCCTGGCAAGGTCATGGAGCAGATGATTATTGCAGCCTTCCAGTACCTGAAGGGGCTACAAGGAAGCTGGGGGGACTTTTTACAAGGGCCTGTAGTGACAGGACAAGGGGTAACAGGTTTAAACTGAAAGCGGAGAGGATTAGATTAGATATTCAGGAATAAATTCTGCCCAGAGAGGGTGGGGAGGCACTGGGACAGGTTGCCCAGAGAAGCTGTGGATGCCCCATCCCTGGAGGTGTCCAAGGCCAGGCTGGATGAGGCTTGGAGCAACCTGGTCTAGTGGAAGGTGTCCCTGCCCATGGCAGGGAGTTGGATCTTTAGGGTCCCTTCCAACCCAAACCATTTTGTGATTCTGTGAGAACAAAAGCACAAACGAGTGGTTGCATCCTCCTCCCCCCAGCACACTGTGGTCTCCGTAGTACATCAGATCTGACTGGAAACACAGACGTGTCTCCCGTTAAGCAGCACTGGGACGTGTGACAGCCTGCTCAGCTATGCTCTCCTGCTCTCCCAAGGAGAAGACTTTAACGTGACTCACCTTCCGAAACCCCTCCAACACTTCTTTCATTTTCTCGTATCTCCTGAAAAGATCTGCCAGGGATTTCTCCACTGAGTTCAGATCTGCCAAGGCCTGTTCCTTCTCCACTATCAGCTGCTGAACAGTGTGATGGGAGACAGATTTCTCTCTCTGTTCGTCCTCTGTTAGAAAGAAGAGAGGGGGAGGAGAAAAAGCAATTTTCAGAAGGGCAGTAGCAGTAAGAACAGCGATGTCACTGTCATCCATAGTTTCTACTATACTGTGCTCTACGTTGTGTATTAGGAAGTTTGTGGGATCCAGAAAAGTCATTTTTATATAAAGACACAATCCTGTTTTGGAAAAAGGTTGCTAAATATTTAAATATTCTGATGTTAGGGAAAAATGTGAATGTATCTCTGTATTGATGATTTATTTCGCTCTGAACTCAGCAGTTCCCATGAAAAGGCAGATGCTGGATTTCCCTTGTTTGCCTGAAGATGCACCAGCTGAAGGACATTTATGCATATGACTAGCACTGGCAATAAATTATTTGCCATTGCTGATACATGTTTGTCATCTCCTGGCATTTCTTCTAATCCTGTACAAACAAGGCACTTTGTTTAGTGGAATTCAACTCAAAATCTTCCCTTGGAAAAACTTTCTTAGGATCACTGTAGCAAGTGCCAGAAAGGAAATCTAACATTAGACAGACTTTCTAAGTTCTGGTCTGCAGAAAATATCTTCCAAGCTTCTCCTGTGTATAGTTAAATTCGAGGCAGGGATGATGGGAAGAACACAAGAGGAATCCCAAATCCATATGGAAAGGAACTCTTCTAAGGAATTGACCTAGTAATAAACTGGACCACCCGTATAACACTGGAAGAAAAGGTCTGCCATTGTCTTCCAAAATGCTTCACTGTTTGCTTCATATCCTAAATATGGTTCTTGTGTCCATGTTTTAGGGGCTACTTGGAATGATTTCAAAATGGAAACCAACCTGCAATACACAGCAGTTTTATACTACCATTTTCCTTTGCCTGTGGTGGGAACTAAACGAAGGTAGGAAGTTCTCCCATGTAAAAAGCACAAGGCATTTCAGAATCTGCAACTTTTCACTCAGGCCTTTATGTTTTGAAATATAAAGAAGTAAACAAGAGTTTGGTTTTTTATTTGAATAGAAGACTTTATCTGAATTAAGTATTTCACAGTGCTGGTCATCTCTGCAATATCAGAGTTGATCTGGTCAATTCCAAACTGAGGTTAACCTCTCCTTTCAAATATTCAATCCTAACCAGTTTGATGTGGCAGAACTGAGAAACCCAGAGCCCTGTAATGCCACATCAGTTTGACAACATTTAACATGTCATAAAAATTAAGCACGCTTTTCTATTTTGCCTTCTTAAAGACAGTGAACAACTGTAATGTCAAAATGAATGTATTCTCAAGAAAAATGAGAAAGCCATTTGTCATCCTTCATTTATTTTTCTAAATCTGAGAAGCTGTCACCTTGTGTTCCAGCACAAGGTTTATTTGGTCACACTGGAGGTTGCACACTGTCCAGCTTCATCCCAAAACACTTCCTGGAAGGATCCTGCTCCCTGGCAAAACCTCTGCCATCGCACCTCATGCAGGGGAAGGATCCCTTTGCATGATCACATAACGGACTTAAATGTATTTAATGTCACAACTTCACTTTTTCTGAGCCTGCTGTCTGCTGTATTTTAGCAACTTCCTTTTTATTTGTTTCTAGGGCAACGCAGAAAGTTTGTGCTTCGTGACTGACTCCCTCACAGTTCCCCAGCTCCCTCGTTCCTCCCAGTGCTCTCCTCTCTCCTCAGCTGGACCAGCTCCTCACACACTCATCCCCAGCCTCGCTTCACCTTGCACATGGGAATTAGGGGTAAGTGATATCCGATGCTCCCTTTCTCCCCTCCACTGGGGGTGTCCATGGACCGGGGAGTGAGCTGAAGCCTGCATTAAACCCCAAAGGGAAAACAGGAGTTTATATTGGGGGAATGACATATAAATTGAAAAGAGGGAAAGTTTCCATTGAGCTTTAGGAAAAGGGCATCTGATAATCTCAGATAACAACTAAGATACATTTAAAACCCAAAGTGATTAAGTGCTACAGAAAACAGAAACTGGCTGGAGGGGAAGATCAGTGTGACATTGTCTAAAACTATGATTTAGCTTTAATGGAAAAGCTGCTCAGTGGAGCTGTGCTGGTAATAGTCTGCCAGTCGTGTCTTAGTTAAGCAGTTACAGATACTTATTTCCGAAGATATTTATGAGGTTATGCAATTAAAGTGTTTTAATTAAATGGCTTCCACGTCTGCAACACACACTGTCCACTGAGTGAAAGCCGCACACTCACCAACAATAACAGCTCAGCACTAACACTACCCAAACGGACAGAGTCAGAGCACCACCCCAGCAGATCTGCTTTCGGGCTCAGCTCACCATTACTCACATTACTGAATGGGAATGCAGCAAACGGAGAACAAAAGCAAAAGAAACTCAAAAATGCAAAATGCTGGGGTGAAAGTTGGTGAAAAGCTTTACTTACCAGGCTTGCCTGTTTTGTTTTTGCAAGCAAAGAGCAAGAAGCAACAAAAATGGAAGCAAAACAGAAAATCAGGAATTGTTAGGAAAGCAGAAAATAAGTAACGCAACAACCTGTAACGCACTAAGCATAACATGTTTGTTTTTCACAACGAGAATTTAACTATGTATTCAAACGTACAAGTATAAGGATACACTTTTAACAGGAAAAAAAGAAAACCCTAAGATGACAAATTTACCAATAAAAAGTAAATCCAGGACAGGGGTTTTGGAAGGGAACCGTGGATGGCCGTGACCCCGGTGCGTGTAAGGTGGGGTGCAGTGAACAGGGGGGTGACGCAGGCTCCGTTCCATAGGGCTGTCAGTGCCACGCAGGCGCGAGCTGCAAGACTCGGGCACCGGCCAGCAAAGCAGTAGCACAAGCAGCAGGCTAGCCTGGAAAGCCTGGGTTTTCCTCCCCCTCGTCCTCAGATTAAACTAGAACGTGCTAGGGGCTCAACAGAGTGTAAGAAAAAAAGTTATAGCACCAGTAAAAAAAATGTGCAGAGACTAAAAGGGATCTATGCAGTGACAGCTTGCAAGCTCTGGCTGCACAGAGCGTGGCAGGAATCCAATCGAGTAAGCTAAGCCGGGTAATGCTGGGTTCTACGTGTATACAGCAGCAAACACTAGACCTTCCACAGCCCTCGCAATCAAAGGCAATTACTGTATGCAGTGCATGTTTTCAGTGCCTTTGTAGGCAAACATAAACAATCAGATATGGCTAATATGGAATATTTTCAATATTCATTACACACACACATGACAACCTATAAAGAAGTGAGCAGGACCTCTCCAGCACACTGAATATTCATTAAAGGGATCTGTGAAATTGGTTCACTTGTAATGCCCTCCTTACAGGGCTGCATAAATAGCTCAGAAGGGTTAAATCATAAAACAGGCATTTCTTTTCTTAAAACGCACGTTTTGCTTCAGCAGTAAAGCACTGCTGTGGTAATAGTTCAAATAGCACACAGACAGTCATTTTCCTCCAAAATGTGGCATTTGGATGAGTGAATTCCTTTATCAAAAGGGACAGTAATTTACCACAAACAAGAGGAGAAAATGGGACAACTGGATCAAAATTTGCATTAAATGCAGGGAGAGGGAGCCTTGCGTTTAACGCATTACCGCTGAATTTGCATACTGCTCTAATTAACACATGCTCTCTGTGTCACCGTTGTTGTTTCGGTTCCTTTGCAAATGGCCAGCAAATGACATTATTTGTAGCTATAGCTCTTAAAAACTTGCCACAGATCATTTGAAAGACTGATTGATACTCTGAATTTGAAGTTTAAGGATCTTTCGATTTCCTTGGTGGCCAATGGCCTGATGCTTTAATTATCTTTGATTTCTTTGCAACAAGAGGAAATGGCAAGGGTAGAATTTACTATGTATGCTGAGGCTGTGCCTTTGCCTTAGGACCCCCATTCTATACCTTCTTGTTGCACCGCAGTCTCACAATTTGGTTTTTCCCTTTTTTTAGATGTTTCTCAAAAACAGAATTTGAATTTGTCATCAAAAAGAAACCCCTCTTGCTGCCCATATGCATGTTCTTGGGAAAAAAGGGCAGGTCGTGTGTTTCTACGTATGAGTGGCCAGGTTCAGGGATGAAGCCACACCAGAGTATGTTTAGTGTAAAGCAAAATGAATTAGGTTCTTCATACTCTGGTCACCCCTATTTTAACACCTGCATGATGAGAACGACAGACATTACGTCAGGAGACGGCAGATTTGCGCAGTCGTACATACAAAAGGCAACAGAGGCACAACACCATAGAGAATGAAGCCAGGCATGTTAATATTACATATTATTAATTATTACATAGTTTATTATTTGTTTTGTTGCTTATTATTACTGTAACAATGATTAATTAATTAATTTCCAGGCCCATTTTTCCCTTCACATGACAGAAGGCTGGGATGTCTCCCAACAGCTAAGACATACAGGAAGGCAGCAAAAGCATCAGATATTGAATTACTTCCCCTCTGCTCTCTTTGGGCAAAAATAACCAAATTCATTACAAATATATGTAGATACAACCTAAGCATTAATTAAAAATAAAAAGCAATTTAAAAGAAACCCCAAATTCGGGCATGACACAATACTGACTGTGATGAGGGGACTGCCAATTTTAACAGGGGCGAAGCAATACGGGATGATGATAGCTGTAATAGGAATCCCTCCCGGTTAAAAACCTGTGGGAAAGAGGCAGGTATGTCTGCTGCAGTCCTGGCACGCTGCACTCTCTGTGACAGGGAGTAAGAGGAATAATTTATTTGTATTTTTCAATAAACACATTGCCAACAGGCGGGAGCATAACGCTCCCTGCTCGCACGTACCATTAGCTAGGCCAGCCCTTCTGCACCTCACAGCCCAGATTTAACTCCGAGGCCATTCCGAATGGCTTTTAACAACATTTCAGTTCTCTGCTGCTTTAGTCAAGCTTATGCAGATGAGCTTGGTCCTGCTTTCTCATCAGCCACTGCTGCTCTTCCTCCTCTTCCCACCCATTTGGCCATACAGATCCCACGACTCAGCTCGGCCACTCGTCTTTCTGGGAGACGGCTCGAGCTGAAGCAGCCACTGGAGCTTTCTGTAGCCAGACTAAGAAAAAGAGCTTTGGAAATCTTATGAGGAGGCTTTAAAATCACATCCCAGGTGCCAGAGCTCCCACGCCAAGGAAGCGCAGGAGTCCTGCAACCTTTGGTTTTGAAATGCTACTGCACGTGGTGTTTTGCACTGGTGGGGCATGCTGCTAACAAAGGCATTTTCTAACTACTGTGAGGCAAAATATGTCATAATTTAGACCTTATAGAGACCTCTATGTTAGTAAATAACTGGGGAGGTGGATTGGCCACTCAATCTTTCAGCTGGGATTGGAGTTAATCTAGGTTTTGCTCTGAGCAATGCACTTAGCACAGATAATCCCTGTTGCTGTCAAGAGCTAAGTTTGGTATCTCCCATTAAACAGTTGGGAGCGGATGACTAAAGGGTTTTTAGGTCATGGAAAGTCTCACCTGGAGATACCCATGAATTCTGGGCAAAGCATTTGAACGTGTTTCCTATGGGACAGTTTGCTTTGCTGTAGAAGGAAAAGCCCTGACCTTTCCGTACTACCTGGACTGCCTCAGGGGCTACTGTGTGTGACGCGAAGACCTAGCTTTTCATCACAAGCTGGCGGCACGCACGGGTGTCCTCAGGTGCATTCGCAATTCCCGGTGGCATTGGCAGACGTAGCTAGCAGCAGAATGAAGCCCACAGACTTCAAGCGTGTTTCTAGGGTCAATTCAGAAAATGAGAGTGGAAGATAGAATCTTTCAGAGTAAAAACACCTACCTATCATCTGAGCAATCGTCTTCTCGTATTCTGAAACTATTTTCCTATAAGAGGGAAAGAAAAGAAAAGCTTTTGGCAAACACCGTAACTGCTAATGCTTACTTAGAAAATAATGCTTACTTAGAAACTGAACTATGGCAATTTAAGAGAGATACTTCACACGTTTATATGCTCCTTATAACCAGAGGAACAAATAAAACTGACAGTTTAAACATTGCACCTGATTTTTAATTGTCCATGTATATCAATACAGGTGAGGGGAGGGAAAAGGGAACGCTTTGAAATAAAATCTGTTATTGGAAACATGCCCAAAGTACATTACCAATCACGATTTAAACACAACCACAATCCCATTGGTCTAATTCAAGAGTTAGGGAGTCTCATTTTCCCATCCATTTCTCCCCTAATCTTCATGTTGGTGTTTGCTTATTTTTAATGTAAACGTTAAGTAAAGTATAAATGGTAGCAAGTAAACCTAACAGGAGTATAGTTGGCCCTCATCCAAAATCTATCTAATCTTCCACTCTCCAAGTGTGACTCAATGATGCATTAGCACTTAAGAAAGCAAGATCAAAATATTCAATTATGTAGCACAAAATCCATCGCGTCCCATTTCCCGAATCTGTTTTTGAAACAGAAGTAGCAAAATGTTACTTTTAAGACTATTTTGTGTCATATACTCACGGTAGGCTTTGAATTTCCTTCTTGAAAAGAGGTTAGCCAAAATAAGCAGATTAAATGTGATTTAGAAAGATGATCCATCCCTTCCCAGAGCCAAATAAAGCTAATGAAATGAGGCTAGCTTGGTCTGTGCTTTGATTCATGGGCCTCGTAGGACTGCCTACGAAACACAAAATTACCCCACACTTCATGTGAAGTGGATGTTCAAAACAGCTCGCTGGTATGTGAACACCTCTCCTTTGGAGTCTTAGCTCGCTTTCATGTGCTCCACTTTAGGGAAGTCTGCTGCAGCCGGCGAGCATACCGAAAGGATGGGGG